ATAAAATGTAATTCATCTTGCAGAACAGAGAACAATCCATCGACTAGTTACGTAGAGCCACCTCCGTATCGGATAAATAATATATCGCAGTCAGAAGAATTGCCCACGAAGAAAAGAAAAGTCGTCTCTGGCGATACTTCCGACGCCGTGGAGTATCGAGATTACTCGGGGATCATAGCGGACACACAGCAAGAGAACCAAATTGTTCCCAGCAGTAGTACGACGCTCGTTGATTGCGACCACATCGTCGTCAAGACGCAAATGATTCGAGGTACGGAATTTTATCGATCTTCTTTAAATGATTTAAATTGAGCAAGGAATCCTCGCGAATTAATGCGCGATATTCTGTGTAACAAATTGTAACTGTAAAACATCTCGTGGAAATCATATACGAACGTTTTACATTATTTTCACATATTTTTCTAGACGGTCATCTAGAGACAGGCGAGGTCTCCAAAGCCAATCCGGATAAATCGAAGGATGTATCGTCGGAGGACAAACAGAAGAAGAAGGTCATCAGGAAAAAGGAGAAAGACAAAGGTCTGGAGCCTCTTCCGCTGCAGATGTTTCGATATTTGCAGACTAAAATTACAAAAACTGATAAAATGAATATCAACCTCTGCAACATCTGCGAGGAGCGCCGTTGTAACATCGCCTTTCTATGCGGGCACTGCGCGTGTAAGGAGTGCGCCGCTCAGCTGAAAACTTGTCACATGTGCCGCAAGAAGATTAAAAAAGAAATCATTTTATATTATAATGAGCAGGAGTGAGTAATAAAGCGATGAAGAGTTAATTATAGAAAAATTATGAATTTATTATAAAGATAACTGATAGTGAATTTAATACAAGAATAATAGACTTGAAGCGGGAACGAAAGAGATCGACTGTCTTGCGCGGATTCTCGAACGTAAGTGAGCTGGGGTAAAGGAACCCACCGCGCTCCAAAGGGTGATCGATTGTACTAATCGATCACCGTCGATAGTTGACATGTTCGGTCGGTGGCACCTCGCAGTGATAATTGGAGCAATTGTCTACCAAACGCGGTTGTACAAACGGGGAGAAAGTACGATAAACTTTATATTTCGATATATTAGACTATCCGATCAGTAATCGCACCGGAACTTTGA